CAGTCGGGTCAGGGGTGTAGAGGGGAGCTATGTTGTGTTGTGTGTGGCACTGAAGAAGTCAAGAGCCGGATACAGAGTGGGGCAGAGAGGAGAGTGGGAGCGTGAGAGAGGGGGAGAGTGTGAGAGGGTAGATTGTGCACACTTCTTAAATGCGTGTATATGTTTTGAGTGTCCCGGCTTGTGTGGACAGAGAGCGTTCGAGAGAGGGGGTAGAGAGAGAGAGAGGGGGTAGAGAGATAGTGGAGAGAGAGAGTGGAGAGAGAGAGGGCGCTTAGACTGTGCCGCCTTATGGGGCTAAATCAGATTGTGCGTGTTGTCGTTTCTGATATAAAAGCACGGCCCCTTCGTTAATCTTGCCGATATGTGACCTCGGTCAAGACGTAAGGCTTTCGACTGAAGCCAAAAATTCTCCTGGGTCGCGGTTGATCCTCGTCTGTAAGATCTCAATGAAGCCCAACAAATCTGGGGAGAAAAACAAATGCTCAATATTTACTTAGCGCTTCCTCCGCATGTGTGCATGTTGAACTTCTTTGGGACCGTACGTAGCCAACCGTGGTAGTCGGAGGTGCGGGGGAAGGACAATAAACTAAACACAAAAAGAAAATGCAGTCGATCATTGATTTTTTTTTCTTATCCGGGGGGGATTGGGCGCCGGATTTTCAAAAAGCCGAATAACCAATAATCATTAAAAAGTACTTATTTTTGCGCATTCTTGAATGACGTTTTTTTGGTATTTTTCGACGTCTTTTTAGCATTTAAAATAAGTTTACTATATATGATTTGACATAAATAAACATACAAATAAACAAAAAAGAAATGTCCTATTTTAAAGTGTTAAATGCATTTACTGTACCGTACTTACCACTCCAGACTCTGCATGGAGTGATGTATACACGTGCAGTATTGTCATTGTTTAAGTTGTATGTAGTGTATAATGTACTGTATATATTTAACACTAATCGCCGGACTGGGTTACAGCCTTTGGAGCGGTTTCGCTGGATCGACCACCAGATAATGTTGTGAGCTAGATAATGGAGTGCCGGATAACGTTGTAAGCTGGATAATATTGTAAGCTGGATAATGGAGTGCCAGATAATGTTATAAGCTGGATAATGTTGTAAGCTGGATAATGGAGTGCCAGATAATGTTGTGAGCTGGATAATGTTGTGAGCTGGATAATGGAGTGCCGGATAATGTTGTAAGCTGGATAATGTAAGCTGGATAATGTAAGCTGGATAATGTAAGCTGGATAATGGAGTGCCAGATAATGTTGTGAGCTAGATAATGGAGTGCTGGATAATCGATGATCAATTGTACATACCGTTTAGAAATCCGCGCACATCATCTTCAGCATCTGACCTAGACCACTCATCATCGGAGTCCTTTGCTCATCTCTCTGACCCAGTGTCCATGCTGGACGTCTGTGAAAAACACCTTCATAGGTAGTCGGATTCCTCCTGCGCTCTGAATCAAGATTCTGATTCTGCTGGAGGAGTGGCGGCTTTATTTCTCAGCCACTTACTCTCCCTGCGAAGAACTGCCCCTTGGCACTTCACCTGTTTGATGCTGCAGGATCTCTCCAAAACCGTAAACCGTATTTATTTCAAATGTAATATCACCTCCACTCAAGGGGGTATCAAAAGATTGTAAACTAAAATAAAATTAAAAGACAATGAACTAATGTGTAAGTAAAAGCCATGAGAAAATAGTGAATCTTGCACTGTCACCTAAACACAATGAGGCTCGTCGCGTGCCGGATCACCGCCGCCAAGGCATTCCAGATCCTTGCGGCAACACTCGAGGAGGCCCGACCCCCCATCATCGAGCGCAAGAGCTGAGGCGTTGTGTGTAAACCCCAGTTGTATGACAAATCAGTCGGGCCCACAGGTACATTGGTCCAAGACCATGCAGAGCTTTATAGACCAGAATGGCTCACTTATACTGGATGCGATAGCTTATTGGAAGCCAGTGCAGATTGTGGAGAGTGGGAGTCATTTGCTCGAAGTAGGCTATACGTCTCAGAATTCCGCATAATGCACGAGCTGAAACCGCCTCAACAAGACACGTGGAAGCCCTGCATAAAGGGCGTTACCGTAATCAAGACGAGTCGGTACGAATGCATGAGCTGACAGGAAAGGGCGAAAACCACGGAGTTGGCAGAGATTAAAGAAACCAGACTTGACCACAGCCACCACCTGCACACGCATGTGTAGGCTGTGGTCAAATAGAACCCCTAGGTTGCGTACTTTTGGCAAATTACAACGTTGAACCCCGTTAATAAGCAGAAGTTTGATCTCGCACTGGCCCAGCCTGAATCGAGCGCCAGAGGCAACGATCATTACCTCGGTCTTGTAGGATTTCACTTTAACCACTTCTGTTCCAGCCATGTTGCTACCTCGGACAGACATTCAGAAAATGCAGACACGCAAACCAGGTTTGTCAGTAAGCGAGACATAGATCTGCGTGTCATCGGCATACTGGTGGTAACATAAGCCATGCCTCTGGATAATAGCCCCCAGCGGCTGAATATACAGGTTGAAAAGCAGTGGTGACAGAACAGACCCCTGCGGGAACCCAAACAGGACGGGCCCTTCAGGTGACACATGGGGACCCATGGACACTCTGGGAATCTACCTGACAAGAAAGTGGCAATCCACTTTAAGGCGGTTTCACCAATTCCTGCCATGGTTCTCATGCACTGTAGCAGAATTGCATGGTCAACTGTGTCGAAAGTCGCAGAGAGATCAACCAAGGAAAGGGCGGATATCTGTCCCCTATCCATGGACTGAACGTTATCAGTCACACAAATGACTAGCTCGAAAGCAGAACTAGGTAATATAAAAAAACTACCAGACTCAAGACAATGTTCCAACTGGGTTGCGACCACCTTCAACAGCTTCCCAATAAATGTGAGGTTAGAGTTTTGGCGATAGCTGGCTAATACATCAACATCAAGTCCCGGCTTGCTCAGAAGTGGTCGCACCAGGACACAGGGACCTTGCCCTTCGAAAGGGAGGAATTGATTATTGATGTGAGCAGTGGGGCTAATGTTTTCAATGACTCCTTTAGGAGCCACGACGGGCAGGGATCCAAATCACAGGTGGTCCAATTCAACTCGAAAGCAAGTTGCAAGAGGGCTGAGGAAGAAATTGGGGCAAACCTACCCTGAACTGGAGGAGTTTTTGCCATGAGGCGGATTTTTTTGCGGATTAGATTAATCTTATCAGTAAAAAAAATTATGGAAATCTCTGCATCGCTCAACAGATGGAATCATCCTGATGGTTGTACAGTCAGGATGTAACACACTGTCGATCATCCTGAAGAGCACAGCGGGGTGGTTCCTTCCCGAATAAAATTTCCTGGCAATAAAATATTGTTTTCCCAGAAAGACCGCCTTAAAATAATCCTGTTGACATGCCACCAGAGATTTCTGGTCAACATTGCAATGAGATCTACGCCAACAATGTTCCTTCTCTGTCTCGAAACGCCAGGGTTAAGTTTTGTTAGGTAGAACACTTATCCTGACCCTGGGCCACAGGCAAACATCTTACCGTGCTCTCCTGAAATAATTTCTGTGTTCCACGGTGTCTTGGTCTGGGGAGTTTAAGCGTTGAGTTTGATTTGATTTGTTACACGGATGGTCCCGTTTAGTCGCCGGTCGCCTGGCTATATTACACGGGGAGACCCATGATGCACAAGCACAGCAGTGGTAACAAAAAACAAAGACAAAAACAACAATATTGCAGAGGGGTGTGGTGATATGAGTGAGTGTGGTGAGATGGATGAGTGTGGTGACAGGGGTGAGTGTGGGGAGCGGTAGTGTAGCGGTTAGGGCACCACGCTACGAACCCGTCGACCCGAGTTCGATTCCTGCCTCACGGCCAACACCAGTGACGATTATCCGAACCGGTCCTGGGCCTCCCCTAGGTCGACTCAAATGAGTACCTGGTGCGGTGGGTAAAAACATTGCCACTGGGGAGACAAAAGCGGCCGGGCGTGGTGCTGGCCACCCACTTCTTGTGTAACGTTCCGGCCTTCATAAGTGCTCGCTAAAAGCACTTGCCCCAACAATCTGTGAAGGCAATGCGAGGGATCTTTATCTTTGCGTGCGGAAAGGTTCCTTAAGAAATATTGCACAACAAAGGAATTAGTTAACGGTCGTAAACGAAACGCACACGAATCGAAAAAAAACAACCACAGTGAAAACATCGCGTGAGAGCAAGGAGGCACCAGATAATTAGGTGCATGTTCATTCACTCTCCTGCCCTTCATTCGCCCTCCGCTCTGCACCAAAACAACGTTGGTTTCGCTGTGCTTTGGCTTTGCCACTCCCTTGACTCCACTGTGGAGGAGCCTGGGGCCGGTGGAGAGTGTGAGCGAGGTGAGAGAGTGTGGGAAAGAGAGAGTGTGTACACTTGTTGAGTGCGTGTGCGTCTGTTCTGAGTGTTACCCTGTGAATGATAATTTGAGAGAGGAGAGAGAGTGGAGGGGTGAGAGACAAGTAAGAGGTAGGAGAATGTGTGGAGGGGAGTAGAGTGAGATGGTAGGGGAGAGGTGGAGAGTGCGTGGAGGGGAGTAGAGTAAGATGAGAATTGGTTATGTCATAGTGTAGGGTGGGTGTGTGTGTGTTTATTACACGTGTGTGTGTGAGCGAGCGGGTGCGTAAGAGTGAGGGAGGGGTTTATTTAATCCGGCCTGGTTCAGCACCTGTGTCCCTAACAACTTTGCGTGTCCACACTGTGCACAGATCAATGCACACGCAGTGACAGCACACACGTACGCACAGACACACAGACACACACATATGCACAGACACGCAGACACACACGTACGCACAGACACACACGTATGCACAGACACGCAGACACATACGCCGCAAAGACACCCACAGCGCTGATATCTCACTCACCTCACTCCAATCTCACCCCACTCTCACCCCACTCACTCCAATCTCACTAAACACTCACCCCTCTCACCACCACCCCCCCTCGCCCTGTGTCATGTCGGCCGTGCCCCCCCCGCTCTCCGCGCTGCCCACCCGGGCCCCCCTCTCATCTCGCCGCCGCCGCTACCGCCGCTGCGCGCTCATGGCGCTGAGTGCGGCGCTGGCGCTGAGCGCAGCGCTGGCGCTGGGGGCCGCGCTGGGCGCCCCGCAGTGGCTGGGCGCCCGCACGCTGTGCGAGGCCGGGGCCCGGATCGTCAACGCCTCGGGGGGCCCCGACCTCGACAAGTTCCGCGGCGCCCTCAGCATGGGCCTCTTCACCGGGACCAACGTGCGGCAGTGCGGCCTCGGCCCGCGGCCCGCCGCTATCACCGGTGAGGGGGGGGGGGCTGGTGGGGGGTGTCTGGGTGGTGGGGGGGGGTCTGGGGGGGAGCTGGTGGGGGGGGGGGTGTGGGGGGGTCTGGGGGGGGGCCCAACCGGCGGGGGTGTGGAGAGGAGGAGGTTGAGGGGTGAACCATGGCAGAGGGGAATTTGGTTGGGGGGGGGGTCGGGGATGAATGAGGCGGTCTCAAAGTGTCAAGCTGTTTAAATAGCCACCCGCCCCCCTAGCGTCACGAGTGTAATAAATAAGCAGACATTGAATGTGTTTGGGAATATCACTAAACAACAACAGGCCAACGTGTGGTGATTTGTGGGGGTGGGGGCGGCACGCGTGGCGTGTGTGGTGAGGGTTCTTGCTGGAGGGTCACGCCAGTGTGACGCGGTTGCTTTTGCACAGGTTTTTATTTGCTCTTCTTTTACTCCCATTCCTATCGTCTCTATTGTCGTGCCGCCCTCAGGTTAAATTTCGTGATTGCTTTTTGTTATTTCGCTTTTTGTTATTTTGCTGACTCGGATCAAGTCACACTTACAAACACTCCTCATCCCGGTTTAAAAATTAAACTATTTTTTGTATTTTACCAGATAAGGCCCACTAAGCTATACTGTATATCTTTTTTTTCAGAAGCGACCTGACCATAAACCATAGCTCAACGAAGTGGCTTATCATGTGGACACGTCTAACAGCCAAACACTAAACACATGTTTCTAAATGTGGAGGGAAAAACTGGAGGACCCGGAGAAAAATCCACATGACCACGGAGAGAGAGACACGCAAACTCCAAATATACAGGAGGCGTCAGGGTCGGGATCGAACCTACGCACTTATGTACACCAGGCGAGATAGTTAACATCTCTTAGCTATCATGGCCTCCTGAGTGCTCACCTAGTTCAACAGAAATCGACTTCGCCACGAGTTATCTGTGACAGTCTGGTGAATTGCCACGGGTTCCTTCCGTTCATCCTCTCCCTCCGCTACCCCCTCCTCAGCACCACGCCTCCTCCCCCATCTCTGGCACTCCTACTCCTCCCGAGCTGCATCTGCACCGCTACCACCCGACCAACCCCCCCCACCCCCCCTCTATTCAATTACAGACCTCACATAAATCCAGGCCACATAACTGTCTGCGTAAAATGCGCAGCAATCAATTCACGGCGCTGCAAATATTTACGGGGGCGTTGCGACTGCTCGCGATGAGTGACGACGAGCGAAGTCCTCTGATTGGCCGCACTCCACCGTCCGGCACAGCCACGCTTTGGTTCGACCAGAACATGACGAAACCGCCCTTGCCGTCTGCACCGTGCTCTTGTGATGTTTGTTATATTTCCTGACCTTGCTAATCCACAGTTGGCTATGCACGGTGCTGCGAAAGAAGTTCAACAAACATACATGCCGCGTGTAGAAGTGCTGAGACGTGTTTTAACGTAGTGGCGGTTACACCGGTGGTGCGCGGTATATAAAGTAGATAAATCGACATAATTATTTATTTTCCCGCGATTAGCAACCCCGGTCACAAAATATTGCGTGGTGGTGCTTCACAATCATTTCTCGTGATGTCGAAGCGGTCGGAAGACGAACGTTTATGTTAGGAGCTGAACACGACGCTTCGCAGTCTGTTGCCGTATAGCAGCACCCAGCCTGATGACGATTCTCTGGCTCCGTGTTCCAAAGGCAGATTTGACTCCTCGTGCCCTCGACCTGGTCAGACGGTTCCTCGATTCATTTCCGCTCCCCACCCAGACACGCAGACCTTCACCCACGCACACCCTCACCCACGCACACCCTCACGCGCTCACACACTCATGGAATATGAATAGTACCCATTCAGGAAAGTGCCGGTAATATGCACCATTCAGGTGTTGTAAGAAGTGCCTGCAGTATGGCATAGTCACATACGTGCACATATCCGCCACTCTCTTATTGTGTTATTGTTTATGTGTTGGGGAGCGGTAGTGTAGCGCTTCGAACCCGGCATCCCGAGTTCGATTCTCGCTCACAATCAACACCAGTGACGATTATCTTAACCGGTCCTGGGTTACCCCTAGGTCGACTCAGCCTGAATTGAGCACCTGGTGTGATATGTAAACATCGCCATTTGGAAGACAAAGGCGACCGAGCGTGATGCTGGCCACCCACCCCCTCGTGAGATGTGCCAGCCTTCATAGATGCTACTCACCAAAATGTATATTAAGGCTACACGGTGGATCTTTGTCTCATGTGTGTGTACAGTGTTAATGATATCCTGCCAGGGGGATCCCCTCCATGCACTCTCCTACCTCTCCCCAATCATCTCACTCACATCTCCTCCACGCTCTCCTCACTCTCCCCCTCTCATCTCACTCGATTTCTGTAATCGGCCGGTGTGGCTCAGCATTACAGTCTGTACTGGGTAGGTTGCGAGTTCAAATTCTGGTTCGGGGTTGACTCGGCCCCATCATCTCTCCCTCCGTGGTTGATAAAACGAGTACCACTTTACGTGGGTGGAAGTGAACATTTGTTGTCCTATGGACAGACTCGCCTCTGCCGTCCAAAAGTAGAATTTCCACCACTGACCAAGAGCCATGAACAGAAGATAAGTGCCAATGCATCATTGCACCAAATCGCTGTGAGCTTTGTTCAGACTCCTGGGGGAATCTTTATGTTAAAGTGGGGAAACCACAGGTGAGTGCTTGGAGGAAGCAGCTAGAACAATCGCTACCAACGATTGTCTGAGCTCTGCGGCCCTAAACTGGGAGGTTTGGCCAATTCCATGAATGTGGAGAGGGAACCGGATCACCCGATGGAAATTCACACGTGCGAGGAAGGCAACGCTGTATCCACATAGATGGAACAGATGGAGATTAGAACGGGCTTTACCCCATTTGGCAATAATACAGGTGTAAAGATGTCCAAACACCAAATAGACACCTATTGAAAGGCATTTTGATACCACCAAAAAAATTGTCCATTAGATATAACAGGTCAACCCGAGCTATCAATGCTTTCATATTTGCATTGCCTGTGTGCTGTTTGTATTTTGGCATTCTCTGATCTAACGCTGGTGAGACAAGGCCATAAAAGAGGCTGTCTCTGGTGTAGACCGATCAGTTTCAAAGACAATGCAGAACATTATCAGAGCACGTTTGTTTAGATACTCTACCACAAGCATGGGTGGTTAATGCAATCATGATGCCTTGCAATAGGAGCATCTATTTGGTGTTTGAACATCTTAAAACCTATCTTTTGCCGAAATGGATAAAGCCTATTCTTTTTCATAATTTTGATCAGGCCGCACTTGGCTGCACCCCCTTTTCCTGGCGAGACAGGGAAATGCTCTTCCTCAACGCCCACACGAAGGAAGTTTTCCAAGGAGGGAGTTTCCCTCCTTCCACCCTTCCACTGGAATAAACTCTTCCTGTACATGATAAGTCCCCCTCCTTAACCTCCTTCAGTTTCTCTCTCAAAGCCTCACCACCTCGTCTCCATTGCCCATTACCCTTCCTCTTCCCTCCCCTCGCCCCTCCACTCTGTCCATTCCCTTCCCGAAAACCCTTTCATGAACCTCCACGGTCACTCATTCCTCAGAACCTTGAACTAAGGTGCTCTACATAAGGATCAAATAAGATTAGATGTGTGATCCACCAACCCTTGCTGCTGCCTCCACAGGGTTGGAATACTCCAGGCAGCCCCATGTGTGCGTGTGTGTCTGCAGTGTGGGAAGCGGTGGTATAGAGGGTGACCTGGGTTCGATTCTTGCTCACGGCCAACAACAGTGACGATTATCTGAACTGGTCATGGGCCTCCCCCTCAGTCGACTCAGCCTCATATGAGCACCTAGTCCGGTGTGTAAACATTGCAGCTGGGGACACAAAGGCGGCCGGGCGTGGTGATGGCCACCCACCCCCGAGTGCGCCATAATAGGTACTCGCTAACAGCACATGTCCCAGCAGTCTGTTAAAGCTATATGGGGGATCTTTGTCTTTTTGTGGTGCAGTATTCCCCGAGCTGATGCGGCACCGCGAGGGCGCACTGCTGGCGTGCGTGTGCGCATGCCTGGGCGCCTCATGTGTGTGCGCGCTGGGCTGCGCGGCGCTTGCACTCTATAACGCCATGACGAGGCCCTACCGCATCCTCTTGGGCACCCTGGGCATCCACTTGACGGCCGCCGCCACAGGTACACACACACACGGGTACCAATACCTGCTATTAGCAACTAAGTGGCGGTGATGTCACTACAGCACTTGTGCCAGGCTACGTGCATGTTAACGCCACGTGAAGTGTCGAACGCCCGCTGACAGGAGGTCACGGAACAGACCCAGGTGCCATGGGTTGACTGACTGAAATGACTGGCTGATGTGCCACCTGTGCTCCCTACTCTGCCAACTTGGTGTGTTTTAACAACCTGGCACTCTGCTCATTGTTGTGAGCGTTGCTTCTCTGCCCTCCATCGTTGCTGGAGGACGACTGCTTCCAACTGCCCAGTAGCGTCCTTCATGAGCCTCCTCCACAGAGGCCGATCTTGACACCACTGGTACCAGTCATCGGCAAGTTCACTCAGCTCTACATCCTCTTGTACCACATCACTCCATCTCTTTAGCCCGTGCCGCACCCATTTAGCCCCCTCTGTCCGGCCAAACAAAAGCTGTTTAGGCATGCGGTGGCAGGCCATGCGGGCTACATGACCCAGCCAATGCAGCCTTGCCTGCCGGAGGAGATCACTGTTGGCACTTGGTCCAGATCTTTCAAGGATTAGTGAGCTACTCGCACAATCCAGCTTGGTTAAACCCAGGATGGATCGTAGGTAGGCCAGCCTACGCCTTTCTAGCCGACAAAGATGTTCTATCAGGAGGGTCCACGTTTTGCAAGCATAGAAAAGGGAGGGCATGATTGTGGCCAGGAAGACCTGAAGCTTTGTGTGTAGTAACAGACCAGGTAGCTTCTACACAGCGATACGCAGCCGATGAAAAGATAATGCCGCTCGACTCATTTGGAGTGAGACCTCCAAATAAGTCATGAGCACGCTGCCCCGGTATGGAAAACTCTCCATTCTCTCCACAACTGCCCTATCACCAATTGGGAGTTGTGGGGGTGGAGTGTTTGATGGTATAAAATACCGAGGCAGGTGCTTAGTTTTGGTGGGGCTGAAACCACATTGGGGCTCCACTAGCTTCCCCTCAGTGTGCCTGGCCAGGCTATACTCTTTAGTTATTTCGGTAAAGTCATGTAGGTAGAAAAAATAATAGATCACGACGTTTCGATCGCAACAACAAGTGACCGGTGGCTTGTTGTTGCGATCGAAACGTCGTGATCTATTATTTGTTCTACCTATGTGACTTTACCGAAAAAACCAATGGATTCCTGTAGTCACGAAAGCTTCAAATCAAGATTGGCCAGGCTATGTTGCATAATCCTTGGCAGGACCTTTCATGCCAAATTGAGGAGGGAGATGCTCCTGCAGTTTTTACAGTCTGTGTGGTCCTCCTTTTTGAAGATGGGGACCACTAGGGCATCCTTCCAATCCTGCAGAACCCATCCAATGGTCCAGACTGTTATTATGATTCAAATAGGGCAGTCTATGCACAGACGCCACCCTCCCTCAGCATATCGCTTGGTAGATCATCCCTGCCCGGCACTTTTCCTGGGCTCAGACTCTGGATCGCCTTCTGTACTTCCTCATCAGATGGCACTTCAGCCAGCTACTGACAGGGGGTGACTACTTATTTCAAAATGTCAGGTTCGGCAGCCTCAGCAGGGTCATCCCCACTTTGCCCCATGACGTTTTCCAAGCTGAGGGATTTCCCCTCCCTCAAGACCACAGAAATGCTCAGCAAAACTGCAATCCTGTTCCTGGGGGTTGGATATTTTATCACTTTTCTTTCCCCTAATGATGGTAATAGGTGTGGTGCTGAAAGTTACATTTTTGATAGAGTTAAAGAGTGATTTGTGATCGTGGGCTACTCAGGCAGACTCCATCTCCTCAGCAACTCGCGGCCACTACCCATCCTTGCAGTACCGCACAACTCTCCGAACCTCTGAATGAAGGCTGCGGTCAGCATCCTCATTCTTTGATGTGGAATGCTGTAGATGGTGAGAGTGGGCCTGTCACTTTTTCTCAGCCAGCTGGAACACCTTCTCTGTCAGCCAGGGTCTCTGGGGAGGTTTGGACTGTGTACCCAAAGCAGCCATTGCAGCTGCATCAGCCACAGTTCTAAACGTCGCCCATTTCCCCTCAGCATCAGGAGTGGGGGACGATTCCAACCCGATGATGACATTGTCACTTGCAAATTTCATCAGCTAGCTGAGACCAGGCCACTGTGGGTTTGAATGGGGTTCTGGATGTACATCCACCACCGGAGTGGAAGAATGCCAATTGTGTCTTACAGAGGACAAGCCGTTGGTCAGTGGGCAGATCAGCTCCGCGGTAGGTCCTGGTGTCAAGGACATGGACCCGCATCTGCTATTCCGTCACTATATAGTCCAGCAGATGTTCTTGCTTGGACCCAGCATGCATCCATGATGTTGTGTGGATGCGCTAACAGCATGTTGGTAATTACAAGCCCATGGGCTGCACAAAGGTCTAGCAGCCTCCTACCGTTGTTATTGTGCTGATCTGGTCCATGTCTTCCAATCACTCCAGACCAGGTGCCAGCATCATGACCTACTTGGGCATTAAAGTCACCCAACAGGATGACTCTACTCTGAGGGGCCACTTTAGCTAGCACCTTTGACAGGAGTCATAGAAGGCATCTGACTCATCGGCCTTGCCAGCATCTCTCTACTGATGTTCATTTTCGGTGGGGACATAAGTAACCACGACCACCACTCCTTGCCTCTGGTTGATGGGAAGGCGAGCCCATAGTAGCCTGGGGCTTACAGCTTCCCACACCTCACCGCCACGCTCCCACACCCCCTTCATTCTTTTGTTGAGGAGAAGAGTCACTCCCTGTTCTTTGGCAATCTCCTACTCCGAGTAGAGGACTGTCTTCCCCTCATGGTGGCAGGAGCCAGAGTCAGTCCACCAGACCTCCTAAATACTGCAGAGATCCAAGCGGTACTGGTCCAGCTCCCGGCAGAGGAATGGCAGCCTCTCCTCCGCAGTGAGCGTTTGAACATTCGACGTGGCCACCCACCAAATTGGGTTTGGCCAGGAGGCGTCATAGATGCCTGTTCCCCCGGCACAAGTTTCATATATTTTTCACGTGGTTTAGTGGTAATTAATTGAAGGTGGAGGGGTTACCAGCCCCTCGCACCCGTCCAGAGCCCCCCGTTTGACTGCTGTGCTGGCTACAAGCGCTATGAAGGGGTATAGCCGATTTTGGAATTGGCCTTCTCTCCATGGCATTGCTCACATCCACCGCAGTGTTGCTGTCCAGCACCAGCGAGGAGGTAAAGGCTTGTTTTTGCCCGATACGTGGGTATACACACACACGCGGGTACACAAACACATGCGGGTACACACGCGGGTACACAAGCACACACACGGGTACACACACGGGTACACAAAGACATATGTGGGTATACACACACATGGGTGCACAAGCACACACACGGGCACACACACATGGGTACAACAACAACAACCGCCATTCGCCACTAAGTGGCGGTGACATCACCACGACGCTTGTGCCAGGCCATGTGCACCTTGAGGCCACGTGAAGTGTCGAACACCCGCGGGCAGGAGGTCACGGGGCAGACCCAGGTGCCACGGGTCGACTGACTGAGATGACTGGCTGGTGCACCACCTGTGCCCCCTACTGTGCCAACCTGCTGTGCTTTAGCCACCCGGCGCTCCGCTCGTTGTTGTGAGCGTCGCTTCTCCGCCCTCCGTTGTTGTTGGAGGGCGACTGCCTCCAACTGCCCAATAGCGTCCTTCACAAGCCTCCTCCACAGAGGCCGATCTTGACACCGCTGGTACCAGTTATCGGCAAGTCCTCCTGTACCACATCACTCCATCTCTTCTCTAGCCCCTGCCACGCCCGTTTAGCCCCCTCGATCCGGCCGAACAAAAGCTGTTTCGGCATGCGGTGGCTGGGCATGCGGGCTACATAACCCAGCCAACGCAGCCTTGCCTGCCGGAGGAGCTCACCGATGGGACCTTGCCCAGATCTTTCAAGGATTTTTGAGCTCCTCACACAATCCAGCCTGGTTAAACCCAGGATGGATCGTAGGCAGGCCAGCCTAAATGTTTCCAACCGGCAAAGACGCTCCATTAAGGGGGTCCACGTTTCGCAAGCGTAGAGAAGGGAGGGAATGACCGTGTCCGAGAAGACCTGAAGCTAAGTGCGAAGCGACAGACCAGGTAGCTTCCACACAGCGTTACGCAACCGATGAAAAGATATTGCCGCTCGACTGATTCGGAGTGAGACCTCTGCTGTTAAACTGGAGCCGGTCATAAGCACACTACCCAGGTCAATAAAGCAGAGATGTTGGTCTTGTTGGAATTCCCTACACCTCTGCTGTAGCAGACGGACAGAAAATATGGCATCTGTGCAGGACCGCCCTTTCCTTAACCGCATTGGGGCTCCACAACCCTCTCTTCAGCGTGCCTGGCGAGGCGATGTTGAATAATCCTTGCCAGGACCTTTCCCGGCACACTGAGGAGTGGGATGCTCCTGGAGTTGTTACAGTCTCTCTTTAAGAAGGGGGACCACCAGAGCATCCTTCCAATCCTGTGGAACCCGTCCAGTGGTCCAGACTGTTGTTATGATGTCATATAGGGCAGTCTGTGCACAAACGCCACCCTCCCTCAGCATTTCGCTTGGGAGATCATCTCTGCCCGCTGCCTTTCCTGATCTCAGACTCCTGATCGCCTTCAGTACTTCCTCAACAGATGGTACTTCAGCCAGCCACTCACAGGGGGTGACTTCTTCCAATATTTGAGGCACCGCAGCCTCAGCAGGGTCATCCTCACTTTGTGCCACGATGTTTTCCTGGCTGAGGGATTTTCCCTCCCCCAGGACCTCACAGAAATGCTCAGCAAATCTGCAAACCTGTTCCTAGGGGTCAGAGATTGGATCACCGTTTTTTCCCCTAATGATGGTAATAGGTGTGGTGCTGCAGGTTACTTTTTTGATGGAGTTAAATAGAGATTTGTGATCGCGGGCCACTGAGGCAGACTCCATCTCCTCAGCAACCTGCGACCACCACCCATCCTTGCAGCGCCTCACGGCTCTCCGAACCTCCAAGCGAAGGCTGCGGTAAGCCTCCTCATTCTCTGACGTGAGATTCTGTAGCCGATGACAGTGGGCCTGTCGCTTTTTCTCAACCATCCTGAACACCTCCTCTGTCAGCCAGGGTCTCTGGGGAGGTCTGGACCGCGTACCCAAAGCAGCCATTGCAGCTGCATGAGTCACAGTCCTCAACCTCGCCCATTTACCCTCGACATCAGGAGGAGTGGGGGACGATGCCAATCCCAGCCGCAAGCGATGATTAAATTCTTGCTTGCAACTTTCATCAGATAACTGAGACCAGGCCACTTTAGGTTGGAATGGGGTCCTGGGTGTACACCCACCACCGGAGTGGAAGAATGGCAGGCGCATCTTACAGATGACTAGTCGATGGTCAGAGGGCAGATCAGCTCCATGGTAGGTCCTAGTGTCAAGGACATGGGCTCGCATCCGCTGGTCCGTCACTACGTAGTCCAGCAGATGTTCTTGCTTGGACCCGGCATGCATCCATGATGTTGTGTGGATGCGCCGATGCCGGAACAGCGTGTTTGTAATTACAAGCCCATGGGCTGCACAAAAATCTGGCAGCCTCCTATCGTTGTTATTGAGCTGATCTGGCCCATGCCCTCCAATCACTCCAGACCAGGTGCCAGTATCATGACCAACTCGGGCATTGAAGTCACCCAACATGATGACTCTATCCCGAGGTGCCACTTTAGCTAGCACCTCTGACAGGAGGTCATAGAAGGCATCTGACTCATCTGCTTTGCCTACATCCCTCCACGGATGTTCGTCTTCGGTGGGGGCATAAGTAACCACGACCACCACTCCTCGCCTCCGGTTGATGGGAAGGCGAGCCCAAAGTAGCCTGGGGCTTACAGCTTCCCACACCTCACCGCCACGCTCCCACGCCCCCTTCATTCTTTTGTTCAAAAGAAGAGCCACACCCTGTTGTTTGGCAGTCTGCTGCCCCGAGTAGAGGACTATCCACCCCTCATGGTGGCAGGAGCCAGAACCGGTCCACCGGACCTCCTGAATGCCACAGAGATCCAGGCGGTACCGGTCCAGCTCCCGACAGAGGAGTGGCAGCCTCTCCTTCGCAGTGAGCGTTCGAACATTCCACATGGCCATCCGTTGTGGCTTTTCGTTGTTTCTGGAGGAGCCCCGAGGCCAGGAGACGTCATAGACGCCTGTCCCCCCGGGGCCTCCGGCACAAGCTTATTAGTTACATATTTCAGTTTAACTCGTGGTTTAGTGGTAATTTATTGAAGGTGGAGGGGTTACCAGCCCCTCGCACCCATCCAGAGCCCCCGTTTAGCCACTGTGGTGGACACAGACGCCATGAGGGGAGGAGCCAATCGGAATTGGCCCTCCCCCCACAGCACTGTCCATGACAGAGTTGCCCGTCCGGCACCGCGAGGAGGTAGGGGGTTGTTTTGCCGGACACGGGTACACAAGCGGATACACACACATGGGTACACACATATTGTACTTCTATGCACACACGCGGGTACGCCCAAATGAGACATTTATAAAAAGCATACGGATATAATGTAATGTATATTTATAGGCACCTTCACTCAAAGCGCTTGACATAGCTTACAAAACGATCACAGCATGGAATGATGCAGTTGACAGGGGGTGTGCAAGGGTTGAGGAAAGAGTGACAGCGATAGAGGGGTGCTTAGGGATCACGAAAGGGTCGGGGAGGGATGGAGTGGAGGGGCGAGGAGAGGGAAGAGAATAGGTGGTGAGGCTTTAAGAGAGAAACGGAAGGAGGTTAAGGAGGTTTATGTACAGGGGAAGTTGACTCTCTGGTTGACTCTCTGGTTCTGGCAGCACTGCTCGCTTGGGTGGCCGTGGCCATGTTCTGCGGCCTGGCCTTTGCCTCGGACCTCGTGGAACAGGCGGCCAACGTGGGCGAGCCCGGTGTGCTGCGCGTGCTCACCGAGCATGTGTGGCTCAGCGACGGCGCGTGGCTGGCGCTGGCGGCGCCCTGCGGGGTGGCACTTGGCTCCTTCTCCGCGCACGCTGCTCGCTCTCCCTCGACCCCGTGCTGCTACTGTTGCTGTTCCGGGCAGCGCGGGGCCCGTGGGGGCTCAGGGGAGAAGCCGGTGACGCAACTCGGGGATGAGCTCATGTACTGACGACGAGAGCGTGAGTGCGCGCCCGACTCGGAGGGACAATGGAATGTTCTTTTTGTTGACTCAAGCATCGCACGGGACATTGCAGAATTGTGGCCGTGTGTGAGATTCTGTGTGGTCGAGGTCGATGAAGCTGTTTTTTTTCTCAGTAAAAGAAGGAATCGAAAGGAATTCTCCAGGGGTTGGATGCTGACTTTATCTGTGATGCTGGCTTTATCTGTGATGCTGGATGGTGGAAGCAGCGCGAATCAGAAAACTCCATCAGTGTTCCTCGTTGTCTCTCTGAGCCACATCGAGACTCACCCAATCATCACCCCGAGTCACGCTGAGCCTCGCAAAATCTCCTTGAGACTCACAGAGTCTCCCCGAGTCTCCTTGAGACTCCCTGAGTCTCCCCGAGTCTCCAGCTGACCTCCCCAGTGCAGCCAAAAGAGGAGAATCGATCGCCGTGTCTCCTACGAGTGGACTCGGCCAAGTCTAACGCTGGACCAGTGGAGGATGGTTGCCATGGTCAGCGTGTGAGGTCAAAGGTGACGGTATCCCACAGTGTGAGGTTAATGCATTTGTGGTATGTCTGCATGTCTATGTGTTTATATCTACGTGTGTATTTGTGTCTAAGGTAAAACGTGTGTGTATGTCCTTTTGTTCTGTATGTGGGAGCGGTTAACATGTTTTGCTATGCACTTGGTGATCTGAGTTCAATTTCCGCTCACGGTCAACACCAGTAACAATTATCTGCACCAGTCCTGGGCCTCCCATCGGTCGACTCAACCTCAAATGAGTACCTGGTGTGAAGTGTAAACATCACTGCTTGGGAGACAAAATTGGTCAAGCGTGGTGCTGGCAATCCTTCTCCTCGTGTGCCATGCCGGCCTTAATAAACGTTTGCTAACAGCACTTGTCGTAAAAGTATGTTAAGGCTATTACGGGCGACCTTTTGTATGTCTATATGTGTATCTCTGTTTGAGGCAGTAGTTCAAGAGCAATATAACACTGACACTTTTTATTTCATCAGGTAAGGCCCACTGAGCAATATAGCTCTTTTTCAGAAGCGACATGGCTATCACAAATGATAGCTCAACGAAGTGGCTTATCACGTGGAAATTTATAGCAGCCAAATACTCTAAACGTGTGTTGTTGATTCTAAATGTGGTGGGAAAAACCAGAGGACCCGGAGAAAAATCCACATGACCACGGGGAGAACACGCAAACTCCAAATATACAGGCGTCATGATCGGGGTCGAAACCACAACCTCCTGTAGGCCAAGCGAGGTAGTTAACATCTCGCCACCGTGGAGGCCCCATAGGCTCCCTGGAAAAGCGTCGCCGTCACGTGGCCTCCTCGTGTCCCTGCTTCGTAAAGTTGTTCAGCCATCTTGCCGAAGCTGCGTGGAACGAAAAGGGACGAGAACCGAATGCAACTCAAAGTCAATCATCCCGCCAGCCTCATCTCTCATTACGAGAGGCAGGAGATGAAGAGGCGTGCACAGGCCACAGCAACATATCACAAGATCGCCTTTGTGCACCCTGCAGAAAGGCATGGACTATCGACCTCAAATAAACCGTGCGACGGTTTCAACCTTGACCCGGTAGAGCTCTAGAAACAGCGAAGCGTCGTAACGCACAACTGAAAGCCGTCGCCGACTTCTGCTACCTTGGCAGCGTACTACTGTACAATGTCCCCTTGGACCAAGCTCAGAGCCCGGATGAAGAGAGTCAGGGCGTCGTTTGTTCTAGGGTCTGTCAGAGTATGGAAGCAATGTGGCGTGGTGTTCTCGGAACCCACTCGTATTGGAACTGCTTCCAAATCCTCGACAAATTCTACCTGTGCCCAGAAAATTACCCACCCACACCTGAAAAGGAATGGCAAAAGTGATGTCTGCAATGGTGAAGCTCTTCAACACAGTCACTCCTTGGAAATCGAAGCCCCTTGCTTGTTTCCGATCAACTTGCGATGTGGGTTCAACTGAAATGGCCGCAATTCTGGGAGCTTCAAGGAGTGGAAACCGCTCAAAAGGTGGCCACAAAGAGGTCTTCAAAGTCACGCCAAAGTGCAACTTGAAAGCCGTGCGACGTGGGACCATGTTGGTGCTCAGCTGTTAGACGTAGCGAGGCTCAGGTGATTAAGACATGACGACATCTTCGCAAGCAACAGGTGCAGTTGATGTGGGAAGGAGAGAGAGAAGAGGGCGAGAGAGCTCCCATTCACCCATCGGTCTCCACAGCCACAGTCGCACACGCGAGATACGAGAACCGTCAGTGGCGTCATCTTCGGACATGCAGAAGACAATGTGTGTGTCTGTGTGTGTGGGTGGCGTCTAGAGGAGTGGTAGTTTAATGGTTAGCACGCTGCGCTACGAACCCGGCGACCCCAGGTCGATTCCCGCTCATGGCCAACACCAGTGACGATCTGAACTGGTTGTCGGCCTCCCCTAGGTCGACTCAGCCTCAAATGAGTACCTGGTGTGGTGTGTAAACATCACCACTGAGGAGACAAAGGCGACCAGGCACGGTGTTGGCCACCCACCCCCTCGTGTGCCCTGCCGGCCTTGATCGGTGCTCGCTAACAGCACTTTCTGTTACAGGCTATATGGGGGATCTTCATCTTTATTTTGTCTAGGTTTATGTATGTGCGTCAGTGTATCTCTGTCTCGGTGTCTTTGTGTGCGTGTCTGTTTATTGTGTGTATTCGCTGTGTGTCTGTATCTTTCATTGTGGGTCTCTGTTTCTACGTGTTGTCTCTTTGTCTATGCATTTCTCTGTTTCTGTGTCTTTATCTGTCTCGCTGGTTCTAGATGTGCCCTGTAAGAATAATAATAATCATGCTTATTTTTAAAGCGCATTTCATTTAGAAATATCTCAAAAGCGCTGTATGTAAAAAATACTGTAAAATAAAATAACAACACTTAAAAAAATGTAGCTGTTGTTGCTGGCTGTCGCGTCGGACCGACGATGGCTATTGAGAGTGAAAGTTGTTGTCGACTCCGTGTGTGCGTCTTCACGGTGGCTCAGGAGACTGATACTGGCAGCAGATCTCGCACTTAAACTCTGAAGGTTCAGCCCCTGCTTGCCGTACGGAGGGTGTCGCGCATCGACTTTCAAATCACTCATCGCCGTCATGCAGTACGGAGGAAGGCCACAGGGACCACCGGCCCTGGGTGATCCCTTCCCCCAGTCACCGCTGTCGATGCTGTAGATCTCATCAAACCAACAATTCGCGATGACCTGCACTGGCTGCCAATTGAACAAACAAAAAATGGAAGGAACTGGAAAGAGAGGAAGAGCTAACAGGGAATGGCTTGACTAAGAGACTGGTGGCAGAAAGATGTGGTGCTACTTGAGCATTTTAGCACAAGACAGAGGAAAGTGTAAACAAATGATGAAATGTGCTGTGGACACCTACGGGCTATCTGCCCATGGATCGTGATGATGAAGAGCTTTGGGAAAATTGACGACGGCTCCCCGCCTGGTTGCCTTCAAGATGTTGTGGTTCCTCAACGAGTGTGAAATTCAATTTACGTGCACAACGCTATATCCAACTAAATATTATGCATGCAGTTCTCGAGGAACTGGTGTTTTTGCACAATGATTACGGCTGAGGGTTGTTTTGTACACACTGCACGTTGACTGTGTGTTGTTGAAACAGACCAAGTGAGGAATATTTTATGAATACCTTTAGCGATGACCAACCCCAATGCTGGATGAACACCTCCCCAAACAGTCGCCAATACTCGTGGTCATGCAATGTGAGATGCATCTATCTCATGCACACGAACTAATATCATCGCTCCATATCCCGTGGTGGACGTCCTCTCAGAAGTGTTCCTTCCTTTGGCTGACTCATTATTGGATTGTGATGATGATTGATTACAAGCTGTGCACATTCGTATACAAGTGTAGCGACATCGCTGGATGTCGCTGTGTGTGGCCAGCCTGGGAAAGGCACGCCATACAATGTATTTACATCACGGACATCACCGAAGGCGGATGCAGTACCGGTCCTAGCGGAGCTCGAGGAGCACAGACTGCCAGCAACTAGTGGCACCCTTCACTGAGTGCAGTGCCGGCCCTACAGGATAGGGTGCGGGGGGTGCCGGCTTCGGGAACGGGGTTTCATGGGGCCATGGCACTCTGATTGACCCCAGAGGGCACGTGACAGGAGGCGTCTACTCGGGGACCCCCAAAAGGGGGGCTGGGGGGACCACGTGTCAAGTGGAGATCCTCCTCGATAGTTTGAGAAAGGGGTCGTGGCTAGGGGCGGAACGAGCCCCGCCACAGAGGATAAAAGCCAGTCTCCCAGTGGGACTGGTTGCTGTTGTGATCCTCGTGCGACTCCTCCGCCTGAAGACAAGACCGACACGGGACCTGGACCCAAGCTTGGGTCCAGTCCATCGTAGCTACTCCAAGTATAGTTAGTGTGGTTAGCCTGGTGGACCACCATCATAGGTTAATATCTGGTAAAGGGGCAGTTACCCCTTTGTGTTAAGCGTTGGTATAAATAAATGTGTTGCCTCCAACCAGTACGTCTGAGTCTCCGTTTGAGCCCACTACAACTGGTGTCGGAAGTGGCCAAACATTCGTTAGTTAAATAACTATATTATGGATACTAGAGGGAAAATACGTACCAAGACATCGGATGAAGAAGGCGGCGATTCCACAGCCCCAGGGATGGCAACTCCGGAGGAGGGAGGCAAGGCGCCGCCGACGGAGCAGCACGCCGTCCGGTCGCACGATGACTCACCACCGTCGGGGAGGGTGCTCCGGGCAGCACACTCCTGCCTTACTGAGCTTCTCCATGCTGCGGCATCCATTATCACCGAGATCCACCGCGGGGAGTCAGCGGCGGAGGAGAGAGAGATGGAGCTGCGCTGGGCCGCAGTTCCCGCCGAAACTTCCAGCCAACCAGAAGCTTCTGCGGTTCCCGCCCAAGATTCCCGCCAATTGGGAGTCTCCGCGGCGCAGCCCACGCATACGGCCGCCATCTTGTTCGCGGAGCAAAGCGGAGTTCCCGCCAAAACCGAAGCTGCACCGCGATCGCCGGTGCATGTCTCGTCTCTTCAACACCGACTACCCATCCTTAAATAATTTTCAGCAGCTGGAGACGACTGGGCGGCCTTCCTTCGGCGGATTCCTCTCAAATAGCGAGATGGCGGGGTGGACGGAGGTGGAGG